ATTGGCGGCCTCCTACAGAGGCAGCAAGGGGGAGCAGGCAGGCACCAGTACTAGGGATAGCCAGCTTAAAAGCCAGTCGTCCTCCCCGGTCCCCAGCTCCGCGGTGTCGTCTGTCCACCGCCTCCCCCCACTGCTGCCTCTATCAGGGTTTTTTAAACTGTGTTCTGTGGCACACCAGTGTGCTGCAAGGCAGTCGGAAGTGTGCCGTGGGAGAACAGAGTTCAAAATATCTGCCCGTAAGGCACCAGTACTAGGGATAGCCAGCTTAAAAGCCAGTCGTCCTCCCCGGTCCCCAGCTCCGCGGTGTCGTCTGTCCACCGCCTCCCCCCACTGCTGCCTCTATCAGGGTTTTTTAAACTGTGTTCTGTGGCACACCAGTGTGCTGCAAGGCAGTCGGAAGTGTGCCGTGGGAGAACAGAGTTCAAAATATCTGCCCGTAAAGGGGCAGGCAACCTTTTTTTTTTGCTCAATAACTTCCTTGCCAACCCCCTTTTTTTTTGATGGGTGGTGCTCAACAAAAAATCCTAGGTGTTCCTCATAAAAAATATTTATTGTTTGGTGTTCCTTGGTCTTAAAAAGTTTAAGAAACACTGATCTATCAAATGTAGCAAGATGGGGGAGAGGGAGGCAGGGGAAGGCCTCCATGAAGCAGTCTCTGTCAATGGGGGTCAGAGCTCCCCATGGACAGAGACTGCTCCTCATCTCTCAAAGCAGTCTCTCTCCATGGGGAGCTCGGACCTGAAAGGACAGTAGCTGCTGCCACCCTGTGCTGCTGCCTCTGTATCAAAGGCAGCAGCGCAAGTAGGCAGACAGCCAGTCCATGAGGGAAGCTCCTTTTTAAACTGGCTCCCCTCATGGGCCAAGTGCTGCCTGCCACCCTGTGCTGCTGCCTCTAATACAGAGGCAGCAGCGAAGGGTGGCAGGGGGCTCCCCAGGAGTAGGGCTGGAGCACATAGGCTGCCAGCCCCACCCCCAGGGACTATCAAATAGTCATGTAATTGCTAAAGTGTCATGAGGTTACATGACTATTCAGTTACCCGATATCTAACATCCTTATACCACACTGATAAAACCATAAACATACATTCCCAGCATCTAGTTATGTGAATGAAGCAAATTTCTTCTAAAAATGCACAAGAAAGAGTTAAGTAAAATTCACCTACTGAAATCTAAAATTAACTTTTGAGACTATAATGTGAAAAAGAAATGTCAGGTGAACCTATTAAGAGATCACATGTATCATTCCTGGGGAACTGATTATGAAAACATACAAGTGTAAATATCACCAAATTGGATATTAATATGTTCCTTTTATAAATTACCAGTAAAATTAAACCCTGAACCACTAAGATTTCTAGTAAGTGTGATATGCAAGTAGTTTTTACTACTTACCAGTTATAGGACACTAAGAAAAATATTACTTACACATTACTTGCTTTGGAAACAAAAAAAAATGACGAGCTATTTCAGGTTGAAACTCTTAACAGCGACTCCCTGGTCCGGCAGCATCCGTGGTCCTGCCAGACCATGAATGTTCCAAGACCAGAGAGTCCCAGGGGAAGGTTGGAGGCTGGCCTGCCTGGCTCCTTGCAGCTGGACTGCTATGTAAAACCCAGCCGGGCTGTCTGGCACAGCCAGAAGCTCAGTGCACTGTGGCAGAGCTGCCTGGTATGGCCAGGAGCCCAGCATGCAAGGAGCTGGGCTGCCAGACTTATCAAGGAAAGGGGTGGGAGGTGAGGAAATGGCAGGGCAACTGAGCTGGCAATGGAGAGGGAGCCGGCCAAAAGCCTGTCCAAGTTGGGGGGAGAAGAGCGCAGTAGAAAGGGGGCCGGATACAATCTCCCCTTGGCCCAGCAAAATCCCTCATCTAGGACTGGTAAGGTCCTGAGGGTGCCAGACCAGGGAGGTCCAATGTATATTGCAATTTGATTGGGTTGTGACTGGTTTTGGTAATTCTGGGTTTTAACAGCCTCAGTAACAATAAACACATGATCAAAAGTATAAAACCTTCTTGTTTCTGCTTTCAAAGAATTTTTACAGTACAGTAGAACCTCAGTATTAAGAATACAAAATTACAAACACTGATCAGTCTACCACACACCTCATTTGTAATCAAAAGTATGCATTCATGCTACAGCAGAGACCAAATGCTCCCACAAACAA